CCCACCTGGGCTGCAGCCAGCACTGATGCAGGTACCTGTTGGGAGCAGGTACCCATAGTACCCACACTGCAGTACAAAGAACAGGGAGAGCGGAGATGAGGTGGGAAGAACAGAGATGAATAACATGGGTGTTAAGGGTAGTCAAGGAAAAGGCCACAGGAAAGGATAAAGCACAGGGCTCCTCTGCAAGAGAATGGAAGAAAGGAAGAATACACTGGGATGGGGCATCTTAAGAGGGAGAAGTTATGCTGCAAATAGGTTGGTAGCTGTTGTGGCCCTGACTACAATAAGCATACCAACAAAATACCCGATTCTTTAACACAAACAAGCTTTTTTCCCTCGGTTCTTGCCACACTTGGCACAGGACAGCAGAAGCAGCAGGAAGGGGAGAAGCAAAGGTATTCCTAGGGTCTGGAAAGGGTTTACTTGGGTTTAAATCTTAATGAAATAAATGAGATATAAGAAAAGTGCTGCACTCAATAGAGATGCTTTCTTGAATCAGGCCTTTCATCAAGAAATGTTAATTAGAAGTACTTCCTTCCCAAGACATCTGCCTGTGAGGACAATATCATCATCTCTGAGGTCCTCAAGTACATAACTGACAAAGCCATATAGCCACCCAGGCAGGCAGAGTGCTGAACCTCTCAGACCTCAGTTCTGCCACCCATGCTCAATGATAAGTAATGTGTTTTTCTCTGAAATAACATCTAACTACTTTAGCAAGACTGCAGCTGAAAGCAGGGCTGCTCCTCTCAAGAAAGATGACAGATTCCTGTCTTGGGCTGCCAACTCCTTCACATCAGAACTTTGCAGACAATTCTGAAGACCACCATTATGCCAGCATCACGGGCACTACAGAAACATGCAATGGATGCTCTTCCTCCTCCACCTGCATGGAAAGAAAAGACACATGCCTTTGGTGGGAAATCAACCCATGCAGTCAAATACCAGAGTGAGGTGGGGGAAATGTCAGACAAATTAAATAGATGGATCAAATTCCAGCATGCCCTGAAGGTCACTCCATGCAGGGTCTGCTGTAGGGAAGGTGGGAGCAGCATTGGTCCTCCAGGGAGGGTGCCAAGCTACCAGCTCCGTATTGATTAATCCTGGGGAGCAGGAGGCAGCGGAGAACACCCTGCCAATTGTAAATGTGGTGATGGGGCACTGGGGGCATATATACGCATCATTAGTCATCCACAGGAATTCTGTTTTTGTAACCTCTGCATTTTTATCTGTCACTTCAAGCAATAAATATGCACTCCTGCCAGTGATTTGACATTACACTTGCTTTGGATGGTTGCCTTTCCCAAATATTAATAGTAACTCATTGTGGACACAGCATTGGTATTTAGTTAGATCAGACCAGCTTCTTTTAAAAAACAACTTTTTGTATGAAGAGAACAGATGTTTTTAATTTACACAAAGAACAAAAACAAAGTCCTATTGTTCAGTTACAGTGAACACAAACATAACAGGCACACAAAAATTAACACCAATAGCACGTTAAAAAAAAAAATAAAAGCCCATCATTATACAGGTCTGCTTATTTGTGCTTTTTCCACAACTTTAATGATTTAGTGGCATGCAATGATAGCAAGTGTTGCTTTTTGGAATTCATATGAATTTCAGTGTGGAGTATATTAAAGGCAAAAATGGCATAAACACAGAGACACTTTCTAAACACGTATTATACATATAAAAATAATAACAATAATAATAATAGTAATAATTTTAGAATAACAAATGAGGAATGTAAACCATCACGGTCCAGGGCATAAATCAACTATTAGCTCATGGGGATAGAAACAAATTGCCTCTTTCAGCTTATAATTCTATAGTTGTTCCTTACAGGGCATATTTTCCTCTGGACCATCTGCACACAAGTGAGGCTTCAGCCCTCTGAAGCATTTTACTTGCATCAGTGAGGTAATCTTGTAGCACTGTATTAAGTTAAACCAGAACTATCCTTATATGCTACTTTTCCCTGGGGATTTATAAGCCCCTTGAATGCACCTACAAGGTCCTGGCACATGCAGGAGAGAGCAGAGCTCAGGTACATGTTCATGCCAAGGCGACCAAGCGCCTTCAAGAACAGGAGCGCTGGTGGAGGTACGTCTTGCACCTCTCTGTCTCTCACAGGCACACACCCTGAGAAAATGTTTCTCAGAGACGAAGATCAGCATCACTCCCATTTCTAATACACTGGATCCATAACCTGAATGTCTCATTCTCAGCTTACTCTAAGGCATAGCACTTCCCATGGAGAAGCATCTCCTCTAGCATCTCAGTTTTGAAGTTTCCCTAGTGGTTCTCTCCAGTTGGGTGTTACATCTTAGGTCACCTTCTTGGGAAGCTACTTTAGGATTAGAAATACTGACATACCAATATTTTTGTCTGTATTTCAGATTTGCCAATCCTGCAGCTGCAAGAGAGCAAGGAGGGCAGGGATCCCTTATCTTGGCTTCTCCCAACTCTGTATGAGGAAAGATTCTGCTTTCAGTACATTAAAACCAGACTTCACCCCGTTTCCTTCCCCATTGTTCACTAGTTTTGGTTTTGCCCAATAACAGGTACTATTTTACTTTATTCTACAATCAGATTAAGTAGCAAACTTACCGAAGATCATCACAGGGGACCTAGTGAAAAACAAAAAAATACTTCCTTGCATTTGAACCAGCTGGAAAAAAATAAAGTTATAATTAAAAGACTTGGGACAGAAAAATGACAGTGTCTTTTTTCTGTAGCATTCAGGTAACCTGGGGATTTCAGTGCCATAGGACAACAGAAAGACAAACACCATGACTCAAAGGGCTGGAGCCTTTTTCCACCACTTAAAGCAAGTCCCACTTGGCTGCTCCAGTTTTAAACTTTCAATCACATCTATAATACAAAATCCAGTTGCAGACCCATGCAGGAAAAAAAGAGAAACCAAAGCATTACAGCCATACGGTACCTTTCAGCTCAAAAGAACCCATGCCATGAATCATCCATCACAGAATGAATCACCTCAGCATCGAAACACAGCAGCTGTTTATCACCCTACAAGAACATTAAGATGGGTTCTCTTATGCAGCCAAAACAGCAAGGAAAACCATATAGACAAGTGTAATAACCTGGAATGCACAAGTTTATCTTCCCTACCTTTATAATGAGTACCAGAGGGACTTTAGGGACCACAAGCAGCGGATGCTTCCAACCACCCAATGCTAATAGTGCTTTCCACAGCACTTAAGCAATCCTTGAAAGCCAAAAGCATTTGACCTGGACCTGCTTCGCTCTGCTCAGTTGACAGTGAGGCTAAGAGCTGGCTATTGCACACTGACCACAATTGCTATGTCACATCCGAAGTAATTTCTGCCACATTTAGAACCACAATTAATTCCAGGAGCAGGGTAATAGCGATGCATTGAGTTGTCCAAAAATACGTAAATTCATCCCTCCATGCTTGTGCAAAGAATGCAGCTAATTGCAGTCATGTACCTGTCCTCATGGTTGGCTGTTCATTAATAAATTGCAATCACACTCCCTCAAACATGGCTCTCTCAGACCTTGACTCTCAGTATCTCGGAGAGATGCTACATGGCTCTTGGAAGTGTCTTATCAAAATTGGAACCATTTTCTATCCAAATATACTGAAGTTTTCACTCAAAATCCAAAATCTCATTGTTACACCACACTCATCACTGTGGTATCTGAGTATTGCCATTTCCAGCCGAATTCCAGCCCCAGCTGGATTCAATGAAGAGTCACTTCAAGTCCGGGGACACAGAGTTAACACAGGCCAGGATCATGCAGCGAGTCCTGCGTGGGCTCATGAGAAGTTCGTTGCAGAAGTTGGACTTCAGCTCCTGCTGAATGAGAAGGGTCTTGTGGCCAAAGGACATTAATTAGGAGATTGCTAAAGTCCTGGGGCTCCACTCCAGAGCACTCACACAAGCTTGACACTTGTATAAAAGTGAGCATATCTGGCAAGACAGTGGTGTGGGTTCTGCTGTTTTCTGCAGAGGTTGTGTGACAGAGAGGGACAGAGGAGGAAATTACACTGATTGCACTGTGTCCTGGGAGTGGACATGCCCAATGGTTTCTTCTATCCCAAAGCAGCATGAAGTATGCTGTAGAAACAATCTCATTTGTACAGCACTGCTCTGCTCATGCATGTGCGCCAAAGTAAGTTAAGAATGGTTCAGTAATGCAGCAAAATAGGGACAAAGCGGAGAATAAGCCCCAAGTTTCAATGGCTAAAACATCAACCTAAATGTCCTGTACTTCTCACCCCACCGTAACTCAGTTCATCCATACCACACAAGCTGTATTTTTAGCTCACCAAACCTCTCAGCCTCTCTGCTTCTCTGGGCACTGGCAGTCCCAGAACTCCACTCAGGTGCAATGACTGTCTTCCCAGGCAATATGTTTGGCCATTTACCGGCCAGCACATGGTCTGACTGATCCAGAGATATCGGAGCACTTCTAAAAACAAGATGTTTTCCCCAAAACACTCTCTGATAATCAAACAAATCAAAGGGCAACCTAACTGGATCCATAAAAGCAAAACATGCAGCTGCCAAAGAACTGCTGTTATCTCTGGCATGGCTGGGTCACCGGGACATTTCACAGAAACAAAAATGTATTTCCTGTGTAGACCCAATTAAAGTACCTCAGGGGGAATGTTTCATGTGCTCTTAAGACCTGAAGCCAAAGCTACTCAACTGGCTTGTAAGGAATAAGGTTTCTTCCCAGGGGTTGATGGAAAGCACAGATCACCCTCTGCTGCACTCATTAAAATTAGGCTTAGCAGCAGCATTTGACCTTGTAAGTACCTGCCAAAAGGGTGCTCTGTCCTCCCAGGTAGACATAAGCTGCCTCCCCCTGCCAGAGTTCAGATAACATTGAAGGGCACTGCAGGATTCAGCCCTCCACGACAGAAGCTACTGACCTCTCCTGATTCACAGAAAAGGTTTGGGGAAAAGCACAATCTGTCGTAAAAGGTCAGCTATACCTTTCCTCCTGGGTCTGACAAGGTTCCCTCTACACAGCTGGGTCAGCTTTACCTCAGAGGGAGGAAGACTTTGCTGCCCATGCACAGGTCTCTGGGGACAGATGGAGGCTGTAGGTTACTCTATGTGCAGGTAATGGGACTTTGGGTGCTGCCTCATTCATTTTCCATCCTGGTAATTTTTTCTCTGTTCACCCCATCATTTGTTCATGTACTTACACTGCAGGATATGGCTGCTTTTCTTGCTGTTCTGGCTGGGACAAGGGAGGCAGATGGCTCCCCCAGGTTGGTGAAAACATGACAAAAGTATAGTGGAGAGAAGTAAGGATGAAAACTTGGTTATTTTGCTTGTAACAAGACGTGTTTCTTCTCTGCCCTCTGGTCCCCCTGGCTGATCTGCTTGCTCTCTTTGTGTTCCCACCAGGTTTTGTAGAGAGCAGTTGCCACTCTAGGATTTTTTGGATGAAACTGAATAAAGTCTTGCTCCAGGGAAAGTTCTTCCAGCTTGAAATTAATGGTGAGTCACAAATGGCTGCCCTGAGGACCATGAAGGCTGGGAAATCACCTAAGTGATCTGAAGGTCTGTGATCCAGATGCTGCTGTCGCCTACACAATAATTGGTAACCCACCCCAAAGAACTGGCAGATATCCTTGCTACCTAGATCTGGCCTCTTGCACTCAATTTGGTCAATATCCATATAGATGAGTAAAGCCTGCATCTACAGCCACAGTCCCCTTTGCCCCTTACAACTAACTTACTGGGGAAAGGAGAAAATATGGTCTGAGAGGATGAAATGGCATTTGGCTTTCATTTTTATCTAAGCTGAGCCCTTACACATGTCTAGCAAGGAAAACAAAGGTGATATTGCAGCTTGGATGTGTCCTGGACAGCACAAATAACACCACCAGTGTAAGCTGATTAATACCCAGAAAACACAATCTCAGCGAGGGCTGAGTGATTAAGCAATTAAGAGATTCTTTTAATTTCCTTTGTATTTACCACCATAATGGCAGTCAAATACCCTTTTTTCAGATTGTTCAGGTTTCCATTTTGCTGAAAAATCTACTTAACAAAATGAAAACCAGAAAATGTTCACATCAGATTGAAAAAAGTATGTGATTTCACCTCAAACCAGATTTCTTTCTGTTGAGATCAGTCCACTTTTTTTCCTGGGTTTTGGGTTTTTTCAACTGATTTGGAGGCAGAACTGAAAAAGTGAAGTACAGCAAGGATGTGCGGGGAAGTGATAGCATTTATGAGAGCAACTGATATTGCTGGAAAAAACAGACCTATCTTCAGGCACAATAAGGTTGTTTGTTTCTTTCAGCTCTATCAGTTGGTCTCATAAAAGCTATTCCCTCTTCTTCCAAAATTCTCCTCACTTATCTCCTTAGTCTACCCTGGCTGCAAGACTACATCTATTGAAGCAGCAGTTATTAGTACTGTTCGACATATAAAGATAACAGACAAATCTAGAAATTGCAATGACAGCTAGTTAAAACTCTATTTGTACAGATTCTTGTGTCTAACCCAAGACTAAAATAGTTCCTTAATCAGAGGGCAGATAATTAACAAAATATTATGTTATTAACTCTACCAGCATCAAGAGCTGAGCACAGCCAGACCCCATCATGCCTCTTACTTGGCTCCCTCAGTTAGGTTTAAGAGTATGAAGTGCCTTGCCAAGTAGAGATGCGCAGCAAACCTGAACAATCTGTAGAAATGCCCATCCAAAATAGGTGCGTGACTTCATCCTTTGACAAGAATGAGCAGCAGATTACCACAATTTGAGGATTTTTAGAAATGTATGGGCTCAATAGCCCATGACTTATTTCTGGAGAGCAAGGACAGGGAGGGAGTAATGAATGTGATGCCTCAGAAAAACTCTCTGTAACAGTAGTTCACAGTGACTGTGGCACAAGCTTCTGGACACAGAGAAATAGGCATTAAAGTGAACATAGTGTGTGTGAGCTTGAGACATACTAAACTGTCTCATGCACCCTAACACAGCATAGCTTCACCAGCTGCACATGCTGCTGGAGAACACCCAACCCAGCTGGACCTCTTTTCAGAGGAGAGCTTTGTGAGGTGGTCTCGATACTACTCTGCCCTGTGCTTTAAAAGCCCTGAGCTTTCCATCCCATGCGTCATTCCTTTTTTCTGTAGATCCTTATGCTGGCCCCCTTTTGCTGGACGAGAAACTAGCATCTCGCTGTGGCTATGTCCTGTCAGAAGATGTGTGGGGCAACCCCGTCTTCCGTGCATCGGTGCTTGGTTGCCACGTGGCCAATGAGGTAAGACCCAGAGATGGGCTTGAAAACAACTCAGACAGTACATCCTCTCCAAAAAGACAACACTGAGATATTATATGGCATTCTATTGGCATGTTTTGAGAACTCATGAAATAGTGAACTCAAGGAGTTAGTATTGATGGTGTGTAGAAATGAATAGGCAAAGGCTCTCCAATATTAAGTTTGTTCAGTGTGACTGACATGGGATTTCCTCTCTCCATGAAATGACACTTAGCTTAATGCTGCTGAGTAGCTGCCAGTTCTCAAGCATATCCTTGTAGCTGCTGATTTGCCAGAGAGTTTCTTGAAAGCCTCTCTGGAAAGAAGTAGGCATTGCTTGAAAAAGCAATGTTTGCAGTGTGATTCTGGCAGATCATTTCCTGGCTTAATTTGTGTGGTAATGTGCCTGTTAACACATGCCTAGAAATGTAGATCACACACATCTATTAGACCCAGATTTGTCTCACTTTAACCATCTGAAAGATAATGTCTAGTCTAAACTAGATGTTTATGCTTCCACAAGTCAATGGAGAGAAACAGGCTTCTCTGGGAGGTGATTCACCCCTTCCTAAAATACGTGTAGAAGTGTAGCCTGGATTTCCAATTTTGAAGTGTTAGTTGAGATGAAATGAACCTAGAAACAGAACATATCAGGGTAGAAACTTCATTGCTTACCCGTGTTTAGTCTGGCTGGTCCTGGAAGCCCCTCAGACAAAATAAGGTAAAATTTTATGGGCAAAGGTTATGCTAACAAGAACAGGGGGTGTACTGTACGCTGTCCAATGACCAGGATTTCCAGACTGGAAATTTCTCTGGAAAGGCGTTCCCTTTTTCTGCATGAAAATGCACATCCATGTCAGACAGAAGCACAGATCATGGCTTCATGTGTGGCCCCTGAAGAGCTGAAGGACCAAAAGGAGTTCATAACTAAGCTAGTCACTTTAGAGCTACACTCTAAACATTTAAGAGTCTAAGAGAGAGCTGAGCTACCTACACCAAAATAAAAGCTCCAGTACTTTCCCTCATGCGGAGGCACAGAGCAGTCATGAACGAAAGGAACATGAGACTCATGGGGAGGTAGGTCAGTTCCCCTGACTAGCTGCTCCTTAATACTGTGGCAAGAATAGTGCTGAGATGTGATCTGAGGCTAAGGCTCTAAGTACTGAGGCAATGTCTCTGGCTCAGAAAGCCCCTGCACACAAACCACTTCATACAGGATGGTATGTTGGAGGAACTGTCACTGGAGCTCTCAAACTGTTTCCATCACTACAAAACACTCAGAAACAGGACACTGGGCTGGATGGTGCCGTGCAGCTGTTCTTGGGACCTTCTAGGCTATCTGCTGAATCGCCTGTTTTTCTTCCCAGGCAGATGAGCTGTTTTCACTGACTGTGAACATCAAGGTCTCCTCATTTCTGAGCATGAGGGCAGCTGTGACCTACACCTACCCTATGTACTGTTCCTATTCCTCCTGGGCTTCAAGAGAAATCATGTGTGAAGAAAACTACATGGAGGTAAAAGCTTTCCCACCGAAGGCAAAGCTACATCCAAGCTCCCTGCCAGGCAAAACAAACTCCACAAATTCCTATCACAAGTTGATTTTACACTATGTACCAGGCATAATAGCAACCTGCTGATATTCAGCAGAGGTTGTAACTGTAGATGCTTATTAGTAACACATTTACATGTCATAGGTATTTTGGATGCAGTGAAATTCAGTTAACTGTACAGATGATGTAAGTCAGGCCACTGCAAGCAAATCAGCAGCCAGCCAGGCCAACCTATTTAACTCAAAAGAGCACCTTTACATTATGAAGTGCTGAAGCACCTGTGAGAATGTCACTCATATATATGAATTAATAAAACCTAGAGTTTGCAGAGCTGCACCCCTGCTGCATCACACAATCCACAGAACATCACTGTGAGACAGACCATGCCTCCCACTGGGTGGTACCATCTGGCAGCCCAGCCTGTTACCAGTATCTACACACCAATGTAGAAATAAGGCACCGAACCAAAAAGACTTCATTGCCTTTCGTACACACCTACTATAGGCAAGACAAAGAAATTGGTTTTATCCTGTTAGGACTTGAGGTTGTGCAGTCACATCTGGGCATTGCAACACACACCATGGTACAGATGCCTGAATCAAACACTGACCCCCACCTCGGTGTCCAGAACTCGCCTCACTTTGCAGCACATGCCAGCAAGATTTACACCATAGCATTTCTCTTAGGTACTGGGGATCCTGCATTTTCAGGTGTTCAGCCTGCATGGGAAGAGGGAACGATGTTGAAGCCAATACCTTGCTTCCTTATACTTCCAGTGGAAAGACCCAGATGCCCCCAAAAGTATCCAGAGTGGGATCTATTTCTTAGCAAATATGAAAAAGGATTTTGATTTAGCCAGTTATACACAACATATTCCTTCTGTTGTACATGCACCACCATAAATGCCATGGCTTTAACTTTACAGCCACAGAAATTACAACCACCAAGAGCCTCTTTGGGAGCACTTTCATTACCTCCAGTGAATTGCTAAATCCCAACAGACACTGGAGGAGAAATCTGAAAGCCCTCTCCCTGCTCCCCAAGACTGTAATAATGAAGATTGGTCTGTTCCCAAAGAATCTGCTCTGTCCTCCCAGGTGTCAGTGAAGACTGATGTCCCTGCAATTTCAAATGACTACACCGTAGCATGGATGTCGGCACTGCCAGAGGTATGAAGGGGGAACTTTCCTCACAGTTCCTAGCCTGCCTCTTCTCACTAGTCTCATGAGTCATTCCTGGGGCATAGCTCCATCTCTGCCAGAAAAAAAAAGTGAGATGGTAAAGATGCCATCAAGTACTGAAAAACCTCTCAAGTTTTCTTAGAGATCTAGACTGCAAAAAGACATTTAGGTGGGAGAACAGAGCCATATGCTTGTTACATTAGTAGAAACTGAGTTCAAGACAAACAAAGGTACGTGGTTCTTCACACAATGGGTAGTGAATCTGTCAAAGTCCTTGCCAAAAGATGTTGTGGCTGCTAAAAGCTTGCTTGATCTCAAGAAGAGTCTGGAAAAGTTGACTGAGAAAAATTCAGTAAGACATGCAAAATACAAAGAAGCTACAGATAGCTCAGGAGTCACTGAGTTTTATTTGAGGCTGGAAAGTATTAGGGGGGAATATATACACTTGCCTTATTTTTCTCATGTCTTACTTGCTCAATATGCTCATTTTCCCTTTTGACTATCATCTTATATGGTGATCATTTCAGGATCCTCTGTTCTAGACCAGTACAGTCATCCCTCTCTTCCTATTTTTGACACAGTATGGATACATGCTGTAAAAGCCGGCCTGTCATTTAGCCTTCAGACTGCTCCAGCAATCAAGAGACATGAAGGCAATCATTTTATTAACAACACAGGCATTTCGTCCAAGGGAATGCGTTCAAGACCACCAATTTAACTTCCTTCCAGGGCCTCTAAAAGACTATCTCTAAAGATGCCTTAAAGAACTATAGAATTCCTTATCTTCATATAAATTAAGGGTATTTCTTGCCTGGGGTGAAGTAGCAGTGCCCAGTATCATTCCAGTTACTCCACCTTCTAACAGGAAAGTAGGTGCTACAATATCAGAGTTTTTAAGAGGTTTTGGTAGACTTCGATCTGATGCAGCTCATCTCTCTCTTGCAGACTCAAAATGTTGCATACCAGCTATGGCAACTGATGTTTGTTTCTCCATCAGGGAGAAAGAGAATAACGGTAAGCGATGCAGCAAAACTGGGCTACAGCTTTAATAACACACTGTCCCGAGTGTACCTCCGTGCGCCCTATCACAGCAACGAGTCTGACATCAGCGTGGTGAGTTGCCCTCAGTGGGACACAAAGCTGTACTGTTTCCACTGCCGCTCTGGAACATCAGTTCTTTTCTTCTGCTTGCATCCCAACAGGTTAGTGGTGTCAATATGAACATGGTCACTTCCACTTCCATGTACAGGCAGCGGTGGCTGCTTTTGCTGATTGACACCACTGTCTCCTGTCCTGTTGGTAAGGCTTTCTTCCTTGTTCACTAAAAATAACCACCTAAGGAGTTATTAGAAAACAGTCTTCCCTCTTCCCTGTGACCTACTCCGTAAGAGAAGAGGTTTACAAGCTGCCATCAGAGAAACATGAGCCAAGAGTCCATGGCTTTAGCCCTGGACAAACACATGCTCTGCTGTGATGCCACATTACTTGTGTTTCCAATGCAGTGTGTCCAATTTCTCAAGCTCCCATGCTAGATGCAGGGAAATGGAATCAAATAAAACTGCTGCAGAAGGGCCAGGGAGCCTCTCCTGTCAAAAAACTCCATGCGGGGGATACAGCTCTGCATCCTTGGGACTCATATAGTCCTTTCCTCTGAAGAGGCAGAACTAGCCTGGCTTTTTGCAGAAGAGTGGTGGCTGCACCTTCTGTCTCTCACAGAACAGTATTAATGTGAACAACTGATGAGGAGGCAGGAGGTTTTAAGTTCTCATGACCTTAAAGCCATAAGAAGGTCCAAACAAGTGGTTCTGTGCCCCATTCCTTTTGCCAGCAAGGCAAAATTCCTGGGACCAGGACAACAGAGCAGGCATCTGGGAGCATGACTGTCTGCTCTTCTGAATAAATTAGTTAGTCACCTGAAACTGGTGATTCAGTTTCCAGTCTACTTTGAGTGCCAGGGTTTCTGTGACAAGATAGCCATTGGTTGGCTACTATCCTACAAGGTGTTTCATCCGTGAAAGTTGTAAAGGTACCTGGTGGAAAGCAGTCAGGAGAGGCAGCTGTTGCAGACTGAAGACTGAGTGGTAACTACACAGACTTCTGGGACTGTCTATCTAACTCAACAGATGGCATCAGTTTCACTGACACTGCGCTAACATGGACTGTGCCAAGTGTTATCCCCACATTAGTGGTTCAAGAATCCACCTTTCTGTCTAAAAACATTTTAATGGGAGTTGATGATCAGGTCATAGTAAACCCAGAGGAGAAGAACTACTTACTGGAGCACAACGAGACGCTCATCAGAATAACTATCCCTATTGGAGCAGAAGGAGGAAAGCTAAAGGTTAGTACAAATACATTTGAGGGCCTGCACTCGAAGATGTTCCTAAATCATGATAATTCCAAATAGTGATTGGCTGCTGCTTAAAATTCTTAGATACAAGAAATATTTGAAGACCTAGCTATTCCTCTGCATCAGGAGCAGACACTAAGTATTAATCAGACGCTAAGTATCTATGATTACAAAACATGATAGAAGCAAGAGTCTGTCTTTTGTTTATAAACTATACTAGTAAATTAAGAGTGAAGGGATTCCTTAGCACTGGAGTTCAGTTGTCTGTGTTGCTACATTATGAAACTAGTCCTGGTAAGCTTCTGGCCTGGGCCAATGACTAGTTAGTTTCCCAGATAATTTGCATTCAGACAGGATGAATTATCATGAGACAGGTCCCCAGCATGTAGTTGAGGTGCAGCTGCTTTGGACATAATATATTCCTTATCAATCTGTAAGTTAGAGGTACAGAGACAGCATCAAAAGAAATGTAGACTAGACTAGACTAGACTAGACTAGGGGTGGCGTATAATAGCTTGAGTTGGAAGGCACCTTTAAAGGTCTAGCCAAAGCCTCTTGCCATGGGCAGGAATATCTTCCATTAGATCAGGTTTCTCATTCAACCTGAGCCTGAGCATTTAGAAAGAAGCTGGCAGTATTATCACATGGCTTTTAGCAGTTCCATTTGTGAAGGTGACATTGCTGTGATTTTGACTTACCCCCTTCAGAAATTCACATTTTTGTGTATCAATGGACACTTTGATCACTGTGTGTAGACACCAGACAGGCTTAGTCTGAAGAAAAGTTGGAAGCTCTAACAAACTTTCAGAGTGACCTAGGACAGAATGAGAGACATGACTGGTAATACAGGGATTGTAAAATTATAAATGCAAGTATGGTTGCTTACTAAGCAATGAGGACACTCCCCTCAACCTGGTACTTCCTTATGGAGAATCTCAGCAGTATCTGAGACAAACATGCACCAGACAAATGGACCAAGCAAAGAAACAAACAAGCTCCCCTATCAAAATCCATCCCAAACTGTATTAGAATACCATATTCTCTTTGTAAAGTAAGAATTTTAACCATATTCTGTCTTTCTTCTATTTACCTATTGCGAATTAAGACTTAAATGCAAATTTTACCTCCTAGAGCTCCATATCTGGTGGTGTATATGGAATCATTTACAGTATTGACTTGTTTTTGGAGCACACGTGGACAGATACAGATTGGCAAACCACAAAGTATACGGTCATCAAATCCATCACCACACCTTTCATGCCACAAATACCAACTGTTATCAACAGTAAGTCATTCTTCTTACTGACTTTTACCGCTCTCTTGCTCTTGCTGTGTTATACATTATTCCATTCAACCTCTGCCGCACACCTACATTCACCAAAATGTTCTCAACTCCCACTTCTAATTTGCTAGCAGAAGTAAAGATTCAAGGTGTTATCAAAAACCTCAAACATCTAGTGTTAATGGATGTGCCATAAATCAGATGTCACTATGGGATGAGATGGAAATTTTAAGTTGCTGATAAGAACATAAACATTTCTTTCACACTAAAAAAACAGATTTTTCCAGGGAGCACTGGAACCCTGGAATAAAGATGTGGTGTGCAGTAAATCACACTTGGGAGAACAACTGTCTGAGGCCAGCCTTCATTGATAGCATTTTCTCCCCCAGACTGACTGCATTTGCTATCTTGGGAGCATACAGAAATCATTGTGCCATTCAGTGGTGCAGTAATTTTTTTACGGTATTTTCGAATGCACTAAGTCATTAAGCCCCTTTGGAGCTGTCTGGACAGCTGACATAGAAAGGAAAAGGAACCTCTTCACATACATTAAGACAGTTTCTCCATATTTTGTGTGGCTGAACTAGATTCTAGATTTCTTTACAGGAAAGTCACCACACATCATAGTGCACCTCTAGAAAGTTACTGAACCCACTTTCTATAAAGTTGTATGCATTTGTTGTTAACCTCCTGCAGCTTGAAGCAATTCTCATGTACTCTGAGTATTTCAGATCTGACTAGAACACAAACACTCATTAATCAGAGCCATTAAAGAGATGACTGTTGGCTAAGTTTCCTGGAACTTGAATGGGCAGCCGCCCCAACTGTCTTCGTTACTTGATCCTCATCAGCAGTAATTCGATGTTCTCTCCCTACAGACACCCTGCCAGAGGAAAGGCTATTTAATGTTGCATTTGGACACTTTCTTCCCGATGTCTCTCTAGTGGCAATTGTAATAGGAAATGTGCCATTTACCCTGCGGGAAGCACAGCACCAAGGGTTTAAAATTTATGAAACTCCCTTTTCTAATAGAACAAAAGGATTTATCCTGGAAGTCTCTTTTGATGATCCATATGTTCTAAAGGAGGTAAGATACAGCAGGTCACTTCAGCAGCTGAGTGGAGGAGGTAGGGCAGCCCCTTTTCAGAACATAGTCTGTCTTTTATTAACCAACAACTCTTACTTGATCATAACAGTGTCAATGCATCCAAGCTCATCTGAATTAATGTTAGAGGCTTCTATGTCCCCACCTAGCTCTCTGTAGGTCTCTGGGAGACATGCAGCACCAAGTGTAATTAGATGGTATGAGGTATGACTTCCTCTAGTGTCTGTCAGCACGGCTAATGTCTGAGTGCATGCCCAGCAGGAAGAAGCTTGAAAAATTTCTATTAAATGCTGTTTCTTGATACAGAACTGCCTTGGAAAGAAAATAATTAATTATTGCAGTCCTGCAAACACCAGTTACCAACATCCAATAATTCCTGAACCTGCAGTTTATGCAGAGTCAATTGAACACTGGCACAGGCCACGCACCATGCGAGCATGTAGAGGCAGGCTCAGGGTATTCTAAATGTAACTTTGTTAAGCTTCATACCATTTGTAATCTCAGTCTTTGTAAAAAGTATAAACTCACAAGGGGAATTCAGCCTCTTGTTTCAGTGGGAGGAAGCCCTCTACCACTGTTTCAACCGAATCATGCGATGCTATTTTCTGTTACAAGGAACAACATTGTGAACACAGGATCAGGATTTGCTCAAATAGCTTTCAGGCTGCATTCAAACTACAGCTAAATTGCATTAAGGATCAAAGGAAGCCAAAAGATTTCAGAAGGATTTCTTTCAGCTTGAACAGCAGGTTTTGCTTTGGGAGCACTTTTAGTGAATTAAATGAGGGTAGAGAGAGGGATGAGGGATCTCTTACAGCATCAGATACAGTGTGATCTTATCTCACACCTTCTGTTTTACCAATTATTTATTCTCCTGGGTTCAGTCCACATTTTGAGAAAAGAAGAATAAGGATTTGGACCCAGGTCTCTCTGTACGAGCTCTTTCACCAGTGGGCTACAGAGGAAACACCACTGCATTCACTTCTGTCTCCATTTTATGAACAGGCACTAAATGCTCTACATTTATGTTTGCCTGAAAGAGCTGTTGAATCCAGTCCAAATTTCTGAATAGTTTTAGGCCAACTGAAGCGATGTTTTTAGAGACTGAACTATTTGCAGGGGAGAGGAGCGTGTTGGAATAATTATTTAGTACTGCTCAGGATATATATGCTTGTCTGTGCTGGAAGGCACTGCTACTGCAGCATTGCATTTCTCTCTTTCAGTATGTGAACAGAAATGAAACAAAATATACCCTCCTCATCAACTACACTCTAAACGTGGGTCTGGAGATGACACTCTATTATCACGCAGCAGAGGTGGAGTGTGTGATTGCTGATATCGGTAAGCTTTTCCTTTATATTAACCGGTTTACATCAACTGCATGAATCAGGTTTTCATTGAATTCAGTGAAACCCCCATTAGGCTAAGGATGAGAGCTTTTGAGAAAACCTCACCCTTCAATAGCTCATCACTGATAACATAGCCACTTGCTGCTTTTCTGATGGCAGCCCTCCTGCATACTGGCGAGACAGTCTGCCCTCGAGACACAAAGAGCAATAGTGTATAGAAGAAGCTGGCTTGCAAACTCAGTGAACAAGATGCCTCATAACTTGAACATACACCTACTGGCAAAGCTTTCAGACATTGCTACGAGTTTCAGTTTGTCCTCAAATGCAATTCTGCATATGTGTCCAGGGCAAAACTCAACTGACTCAAATAAATTGCTGTGAACTCCAAAGATATATTTGTGTAAGGAGACACTAAGAGCTGTACTTAGCAGGTTATTGAAACAGTTGGGAGGTCTGACTGGTATTTTCTCAAACCTCTTTGATTTCGGATGCCATGAAAGTGACAGTTTTCTCACTGTCCTATTTTATGTTTGAAATATCTCTGGGTTCATCCCAAAGAAGGTTGACCAAAAAATATACATTTACATACATAGTTCAGCTTGCCTTACTGAAAAAGGGAGTAGTCCTGGAAGACATCTGGCAGGCCACTGCTAAAGCATGAGGGTTCCTGATCACACTGATTGTGAGCTGCTACACCCAAAACACAGCCAAAGCCCTGCAGACGATGCCAGCATGCACATAACAGCGTTGCTGAAGTGCCAGTTCAAATTTTGCCCATGACAGAATTCCCTGACTGGGGCAAACATCATCACTCAGACCTTCCGTCACTGCTACCTCTTCATCCCTCCTTCTTCCCACAGAACTACCAGAAGCAGTTGGTTACTGTGATGAAGAAAACATGTATCTAGCCATTCCTACTTTTGGCTTGCATCAGTACTGGAACCTGTACCTTGGTAATAAGCTCCTGAACCGGCATGTTGCACTTACCAACGGGTATCTCGCAGTTACCAATTCTACACACCTCATCTTGCAAATACCTCTGTTTGCTGCAGGAGTTATCTACGAGGTACACAATCCATATAGTAATGCCTTCTTTAAAACCCATAGGGCTGTTTGCTCATACAGCCACAGTCCTACAGCCACAGTCTGTGGCGCTGTGGTATTCCAGGTACTAGAAAACCTCCAGAGGGAAGGACTCCAAGCCAGTGCAAGTAGGAGAAGAGATATCAGACATGGACCCTTCTGACAGTGCCATGCATTCCACAATCTGCAGTGTTAAGTTGTCTCTAAATGATATGCATGGAGTCTTCAAAAACAAACTAACTCCTCAGTATTTTTAGTAAGATGAGGCAAAATGTCCCATCTGCACCGAGCCAGAAACAATATTTCAATATAGCTTTTATGAAAGAAGTTCTTTTAAAGGAATCTTCTGCAGAAACATTAAGACATGGCAGGGGAAAATTGATGCTGTAATAAGCATCTGCACTGTTCTATAATAATCAGCCAAAATTTATCTCCGTGACAGTGACCAATTATTTCACACAAGAAAACTTCCGCCCCCATGTTGTGTCAGGCTCAAGTCTTCACAGTGACTTAACTCTTGGGACTTCTCAGTATTCAAGTGGCACAAGCTAAAGAGCAGAACTTTGTGCATACGGATAACATGCCTTAACAGGAGACCTCTTCCATCACCTCCTTCACAGGAAGTCTCCTTTCAGAAAATTAAAGCAAGGTTTGATGTTGACCTAAAGAAAGTGAGAACTATGGACACCTTACAGATGTTCTCCATTAGATGCAGTTTCAATTCTTCAGAGTTTATAGGTAAGTTATACAACTAATCGATCAATAAAATGATCTGTGATTCTTTCACTGGGTTTATAACCTACTCCCCAATTATCTCAGTATGCCAGCCAGATGGTACCATAATGATATCTGCTCAAATGAAGACAGTTCCTGTCATTGATATGAGTAAAACCAAACTAAGGGATAGCTCTTGCAAGCCTAGAGAGCATGATGAACGACATGCCTTCTTCAAGTTCCATGTCACTACCTGTGGCACTTCAGCAAGGGTAAGCCCATGGCTAGAGCAGATACATCTGCTGGAAGTTTCTGTCTCTCCTGCATTTTCCGTTTTTTTCTCCTGCCCCAGCTCCCAAGACAATCCAATTTTTAACACACTTCCCATATGTACAGTTTGAAGGTGATCACATTATTTATGAAAATGAAATCTCTTATGAGAAAGAGACTCTCCCAGAACAGAGAACACCAACAATCACAAGAGATCCAGACTACAGGTAGGAGCTACTGCTCACTGCGACTGCTCACTTTGGTACTGCAGCTGCGAAGAAAAAGCAAACACAAAAATTACTCTTTCTCCTATTAATAGACTAACAGTCTTGTGCTACTATCGAGCAAAAGAGACCATAGTGCTAGGTGCCTTTGCTAGTGATCCATCCACATCACCTCCCTTTGGCTCTGGTACAATGGTACCAAGATCAAATATTGCAGGTAGGCAATTCTCTTCCTCCATTTTTTAAACTTCTGTGACTTTCTCAGTTGTAAGTTCTCATGCCCTGCTTTCTACTAATGAACCCCACTAACATTTCCTTTTCTGCAGTACACAGAAGGACAAGACAAGCCCTGAATGTAGTTTCAAGAGTGTCCAAAGGTAAGTCTCCTTTGGAAATGCAGAAGATTTCCAAACATGTTTTAATTTAAAGAAAATTAAACAACAACGAAATCCCCTGGCACTTTCTCAAGATGAATCTTTCATGGAATTCTATGAGCCAAACATGGCAATACTCAAGCAACATGTGGAGCCTGTGTTTCTCGAGGTGGAGCTGAAAGACAAGAGCCCCGACACCGAGTTATACCTGGAAAACTGCTGGGTAACTGGGTCTCCAGACTCCAACAGCAGCCCAAGATGGAACATCACTGTGGACGGGCAAGTAGCTATTGAATGACCAAAACGCTCATCAGCAAAGCCCTAATTTCTTTTTGATCTGTTGATTCATTCTCTCAAACAGGTATGAGATTAATGGCAGTGAATATGCTGCAGAGTTCTGTCCAGTAGCAGTTAGCCCCAGGGTAAGACACCCTTCTCATTTCAAAAGACTAGCAGTAAGGACCCTGACTCATCAACTGGAACAGGTAAGATTTAAGTGAAAGGCTCACCTCCCTCATGGACACTATGCTCTGAACTTCAGACCATTTTAAAAATAGCCAATTTAAACACTTCATGGACTTAAGACCCAGCCAGCGTCAAACCTAAGTAGCCTGACAGGTGCTCAGCTTTAATTCTCTTCTCAAATCTGTTCTGCAACATGGCTTCAATGACTTGAGATCAGACTAGCTGGAATAAACAAAAGAGTTTGGTATGTAAATATAATTTTTATATGGTGTTCCTGAGTTTTTATAGGATCAGAGTCACAGAATTTCAGCTCAAAATGTCTAGAACAGAAAATTCACCTTATATGCCTTAACATTCACATGAAGTCAGTTCTGCTGTCTCCCATCCATCCCAGCCAGCCAGGCATCTTCTCAGATGGCAGAACAAGGGTCAGGGAAGCAGAGACATGTGGGTTTGGTCTTACACATTTGAGGTTCTATCCTCCTCTAACAGGTCTAAGAAGAGCAAAGAACACCCCAGGAGTCACCTGAGGGTGCTTTGCTCCTAATGCACCCAGCTGAGTGGACCTTAGCACATGTACTGATACAAGCCATGGCAGTACCCCTACGTGGGCAGCTTAAGTAGCCATGTAAATTTTTACTTGGCCTTTCATAAGCAGTTCAACTTGTGAACTTGCTAGAAATGAACATGATGCAATTCTGGCTTGTGCTGCTTCCTAAGTGCACAGCTGCATCTAGCACTAGATTGTGTTTCTGTCTAGCTTTGATACATCACCTCACCGCAGCTCATGAGGCTTTAAATTCTCTTGTCTCAGCCTCTCAGTTACCAAACTGCCTGAGGGCTTGACACCAGCTTAAAATTCACGGAAGGTTCAGCTAGAGGGTGCTGTATGCAAGTGTTCAGCCTAAGTCTAATCAGCTGTGACTTCTGCAAAAGATGGACAAAACAACGCTCTGCAAAGCAGGCTTTGGTACAGACCATGCAGCACTTTTATTCCTCCTCAGGTGTATGTGCACTGTTTGGTGGCAGCATGCTCTCCTACCAACACGCTACCTGGCAGCCACTGCAGAGGACAGCTCAGCTCAAGCAGGAAGAGGAAGGGTAGGTGTTCAGGAGAAAAAGAGCCATTGCAAAGCACTCCTGATCTGATGTTTTTAAGGGATTTAGGACATCTGGCTTTGGCACGCATGAACTGTGTAACTTTACCTTTAGTTTATATGTTAATACATTAGCACTTAATGTGCAGCACGTACATATTCTTTTAAAACCACACAAATACACTGTGTATCATTCTCAGCCTTTCCAGGTCGCTCTGCAGCCAGCCTCCAGGGCTACGTACTTGCTGGACCAGTCTGGATTGTCAATCTAGATCTAAGATGATGCATGTAAACTGAATTTGGTAAGAATACCAAGCCCTGCATACTCACCTAGAGAGGTCACCATGCTTTGTGGCACAAACAGTTCATAGCCTGTCCTTCAAGACCTCAGATCCATGAATTCGTGGACAAGAACTAGGGAGCAGGCAGGGTTTGCAGTCTCCTGGTCTAAGCATGAGCCCATAAGAGAAGGAAGGAGAGCCACCTGCCAAGCCAAACACAGGTGGCATGCCTCCGGAGAAGATGCCAGCAGTAGAGCAGGGCATGCTGGAGTTGGGCTGTAGTTTTGGAAACTGGTATTTTTTCAACAGGTTTCAGTTGGGCTGCCCCCAGTCTGAAAGAAAAGGGATCCAAAATTTTAGAATCAATTACTACAGCACAAATCACTGCCACATTCCAAACTCTTTTGAAGGGTTCAAATCCTCCGCACTGTTAAGAGTTTAACCCTATAGCTTCAGCTGCCCTTGGAGAACCAGAGCTATTCATCTGTGTGCACAGCCTCATTCCTTTGTGTGTGTCTCCCAACAGTACCTGAAGGCTTTGCTGTGCTGCTGCTTTCCAAACAGTGCCACTAGGCATGGGAGCTACCTCTTTCAGTGGCCACCACAACTATCTTGAAGTGAAAAGGCCAGACAGTGGGACTCAGAACACCACCACAACACTGGAAAGTGCTAGGGTCTGCTAACAGAATAAGTAGTTATAACCTGTTGCCTCTCTGAAGTGGCTACAAAACAAAACTTATCAGAAAATACCCCAACACTGAAAAATAATATTTCTTGTTTCTTCTAGTGGTTGAAATATGGACTTGCAGATCATGAAATTTATTCCAACCCTGATTACAATGTTTCTTGTAATATTTCATAAAGTGACTGCCAATCCTTTCATGTAAATGTAAAGCGCAAACCTGAAAAGTCAAATAAAAATATGTACAAAGTAATACAAGGGCAGACCACCTCTCTGCTAATGTACAAAGCAACCATCTGGTGTACCAACACTGGCTTCAAAGAGCCAACCAATCTGCTGCTTAGGCCCTCTTCCACATGCAACACAACAGCACAGGTTTTCTTCCATTATTGCAGGTTTTTGTCTGTAATATTGTATTGACCTGAGTGTCTTGGAAACCTGGTTATTTCCTCATTTTCCTCTCACCTGGCCCTGTATGGAAAAGGTTAACTTACAAAGTAAGAGAAGATGGATGCTCTAACACAAGTAAAAGGACAAGTTACCTGGTATTTTCAACTATTTCCTACAAATCAAGGCCACACCAGACATACGACCACTGGCCCTGACCACTCTCAGGATGTGCCTGTGCTATAACTGCAGCGCTACCTGCAGCACAAGTAGGTGCTCATCAGCAGTGGGGGCACTGCCCTGCCGCCGGTGCAGGCCATAGCAGACACACTTGTGCAGCCCCCACGGGGTTTGCACAGCTTGCACAGCCTCTGTCTTCACAGGCTGGCTAGTTATGCGTGCCGATGAGTGCATGTATGTGGCACGCTTCCCAAAGACTGCAGTCATGCCTGTGATGATTGCTCGATAAATGTAGTCTTAAAGCTGAATCTACTGAAGGACTAAGTTTCGTGGAAATGAATCGGAGCTTACTGGGATCCCAGGACCCCCGTCAGTAGCAGCCTGGGTGGCGCCTTCCTCACCGCTGTAGGAGCAGCGCACTCTACTGTCCCGAGCTAACAGTGCAGAATTAAGCGATCTTCCTGCTTCCACACGTTTTCCAGGAGAGCACATTCCCTGTTTTTAATGGTAACAGCAGCAAACTCATCAGCTTACATTAACTTTCAGTTAATCTTAAAAGCAGTCCTTTTAAAATTTGTTAATTGGGGTGAAGGTTAAATAACTGAGGTGCCAGCTCTTCATTCGCCAGTGCTGACGGGACACTACGTCCACACAGATGAGGTCTAGTGTTGCATAACAAAGGTTCCCTTTCTGTAGTGTTGCAGAGTAGACTCAGGCAAACTTGTCTGCAGCAAGTGGGATACCGCAGACCTTTCCTTTTGCCCTGGGAAGCCAGGATGAGCTGCAGCAATGCTCCATATGTATCCACCCACCACCTGGCCAAAGGGGAGACCTTTCTGAGTATGCTGGGAGGAAAAGGGAGAAGGTGACACAGACCTGCATTCCCATTTCAACAGGCATTTCAGGCTCCCACATTCTCACAGACAAGCCAGAGAAATTCTATGTCCTTGGTTCCCTTCTCCTACCTTGGTTGCTGTTCATTACAGATGTTTTGGTTTTTTTACACTGAATCACACAAGTGTGTTAAGGGTTAGGCAGTCACTGTTCAGCTTTGAGGGTGTCTCTCCCAAGCTGATTCAGCCATGCTATTACACGGTGTATTGCTCTGCCTCTAGGTTCTCCTGGGATTACTCCCTCCTCTCAGGTGTTGTAGATGGGATAGACTGAAGTTTTCAGGCCCATGACTGTCGCGAGCTGTAGGAAGTGATGGTGTGGACTGCATCCAATCCCTCCATGCTCTTAGGCTAAAGGGATCCTGTAAGGAATATCTCAGAAATAGTTAATCTTCAGAAATAGGCTAGAGTTCAACTCAAATGATCACGGTATGCTGCTAGGTGGCCCTCCACACTGACCAGATCTCACAAGCCCTTTTTCCATCAAAAGCAACCAGCCCATCCACCATGCATGAGAGCCACAGGCTGAGGTTGAACCTGTTGTACCGACTCAGCCTCTGCCTCTACTAAAAGGATTAGGCAGACCAACAGTAATCTAACACACAAGAATATAGACCATCATCTTTCACCTAGCAATCTTCAGTTTTAAACATTGTTTTTGCTTCTTTCTGAACCCTTTCCTTTCTGATAGCTAGGGGAGAGCATGACCTGCATAGCTGAGCTTGATTGATAGGGTGCTCATTCCCCGCAGAATTTGAATAGTGTGTCTTTCACTACTGATATGCTTTTTACCAAGGTTACCTACTGAACAGGACAGCACATAGTGGCCATTTGACCCATCCCTTTCCCCTCAACGTGTCACAGCTTTCCCTTTGGAATGGATTCCCTTGTTTCCCACGCTGCATCTCACACTAAACTTATGTGAAAAACTTCTCATGCTGGTCTGTGCCCTGCTAACCCAGGATTTCGTCATAGTTTCCTACCTTCCTGTGTAAACAAGGGAAAAGGCCTTGTAACACTACAGTCGTTAGACAACTCCTCCTTCTGTGTTTCAGTAGGACAAATTGAATACTAGGGAAAAGCCCAGGGTGACGTTCTTTGCCTTGTTCTCTGAGTAAGTTAGATTTTAGAGACTGTTGTTCAAGATAGGAGGGGGGAGAAACCAACACTATTCTGTAATGTATTAAGGAAATCCTACAGTTTTTGTAAGTTTAGAGGTAAATCACCAGGTGAGAACACTGTTCCTCATTGCCAAATTAATCCCAGCTACGGGGAAAAAATTAATAGAGGGGCTGCCAGTGAAGGCTGTGTGAAGGAAAGAGTCAGAGGGTTTTAGAAAGTAGGTTTATAGGTAGGAAACCCTGGGAAAGCAGCTGTGAATTATTTACATCTGAAACATTTCTGACCAGAGTAAAGAGACAATTACATAAGCAGCAACCACCTGCTAGACTTACTGGTGAAGTGCCATGACTTTGACTAGCAAGCACTTCACGAGGACAACAGTGGGCAGACAGGATTGACCCAGATGCTCTGCCAAGAGTTGTTAATTCTCAAGCACAGACAACCCCTGAAGCCCAGTGAAGGTGTAAAGCCCCAGTACCTCTGCATCGCAAAGCGTCCAAAGCAGACAAGCCCTGCTCCTTTTACAAGCTGAGACCTTGTCTGAATTTCATGTGCAAACATTACATAAAAAAGAATTTTACTACTTGCAGGACAAGGGAAGTTACTAAACACATCGTCCTCTTCAAGTTTGGGGTTTATTTTCATATGGATAGCAGTGGTTTGTACCCTTTCAACAGGCCTAAGTGAGAGAACACCACACACTACTACTTAATAGTTTCAAACTGAAAACCCCAATTAGTCTTGTGATGTAAAGCCAGAGAACCAAGTGACTCACGTGCACGAGAGGGGAAAATGTGAGAACCTTGCTGGCCAAAATTACCTTAAAAGAATTTCAAATTATGCCAAAATGCACCAGGACAGTTCATCCTTTACAGAAGAGACAAGGAAATACCACAGAGATTCTGCAATAAAATTGTTCCCAGTCAAGTATTTATGTGTCAACAATGTGTTAGAAATAATTAAGCCAGATCCACAAAACACCACAAGCTGGGAATTAAGAGGGATATTATCACTAGAATCTTTTTTTCTAAAATACTTATTTGCTGTTAATCTGATTTTTTTCTGCATCCTGTCACTTCAAGTGTTCTGTGCAGAACCATATCTCTGATCTCTCCTCTTAAAGCAAAACTTCCTACGTAATATTCAACTGTTCATACTCTTTTTTCAATTTTCTTTGCATGGTAAGTCAGGAACAAGTTTAGTTCTAGTCCACCTTACCATCAGCCAAGAGCTGGTGTGATTTCTCAGGTTTTGAAACAGACATGGCATAAAACATATCAAGTCCTTAAGTTGTTGCAGAGACAGAGCACCAAGATATAAAAATTGAAGCAAAGTACATGCTTAATATATTCAGAAAAGCTGTAATTAAGCTTTCGGAAAAGCTTTACGACATCACAACCTGCTTTCCAAACTGCAAATGGCTACCTCCTGCTATCATGCATCGTATTTATTTATCATATTTATCAGGGGGGTTAGAACTAGATGATCTTAAGGTCCTTTCCAACCTTAACCATTCTATGATATTTATGTAACTTCAAAATTGTAGCTGGCAAGTGCCGGGAGCATGAGAGGTAAATGCAGCATCTTCTCAGCCTCATGCTCCAAACTTGCTGTCTGCAAATGGTGCAGTTCTATCCCAAAGCTGAAAGTGACCACAGCAAGGTCACTGGGGAAGGTGTTCAGAGACTGTTCTCATGACTTGCCCAGAAGGTCCCACCATCTTCAGCAAGCCCTGCATTTGTGCAAGCTCTAGGATCATCCATGCAGAAACTCACTATAAGCAGAACTGCCATTAGCACTGTTTGTTTAATAAATAGAAGTTCTAATGCTCATGTGGGCAATCAAAGTATTTCTTTCATTAGAACTTGCATTGCTATGAACAGGCAAGGATGCTTCTTGCTGATGATTTATAGATGTCAGCAATGGTCCTTCCTATGACGGAGGAGTGAAGCTGCCTGGGCATTCATAGCCAGCCCAATCAGAGATTTCACATGATATTTTTCAAGCAATCAACCTGTTCTGTAACAAGAAGAAAGCCACAACTCCCACTATGAACAGCCCAACTACATTATCTGAAATAAACTCGGAAAGACAACCATGAGATTAAAATTATGTGGTCATTTTTATTCATTCAATTATTACTCTGTCCAATATTTTTACAACAGGATTAAAAAAAATTAGGCCCTGCCTGTTCAGGTAATTTAAAACCACCTCAAGGGGTGAATCAACTTACAAAGGACTGAATGCTTGTGCCGCATTCCCCATGCCAGGTACAGATGGTGTTTCCTAAAGAAATCTGTGTTTCTGTTGAGTGTTTTTTAATACAGGAACACTCTAAAAAGAAAATCAGTTACTGCAGCATGTCCAGTACACCACCTTGTAACTAACTGCATATTTAGCTTAAATTTACATCTGAATGTGGACAAACACTATCATTATTAAATCACTGTACTTCTCACAAGCTCCAATCTTAAGTACTTACATGTTTTAGTGATTTTTCTTCCCTATGAAACTGTTCAAAACAATCTATGAGAGTACAGAAACAGTTATAACAAGAGAACTACAGACTTCATCTGCTGTCACTAGGTTTCCAATGTGTTTATAAACTACTTCTGTACAAAAATCTCTACAAGTATCTCACAGAGATCTAACATTATGCTTTTCCTCAACACTAAG